CACACACACACACACACACACACACACACACACACACACACACACCTCATCGTCCACCTCTGTCTCAGCTCTGCTGCTCGACAAGCTAATTCAGCCAATTACACGCAGGTGTGATGCTAATTTCCCCGAGCTGGCAGCAGCTCCTGGAGGAGGTAAAAATAGCATAATTACACTCATCTGTCCCTCTGCAGGCAGACGGGCTCTCCCACTGGGTGTCGGCTCCACTGCCACCACAAAACACACACAGGAGAGAGAAAAACACAAACTGTTGGCTTTGATGACACACAGTACGTGTGTGTGTCTCTGTGTGAGTGTGTGTGTGTGTGTGTGTGTGTGTGTGTGTGTGCGTGCGGAGGAATTTGAGCTGCAGCCACTGTTGCTTTTTCTGCCCTCCTTTTGTTTGAAGCTTTCAAAGGATTTTCAGCAATACGCTGCAATTTCCTGCGAGAAAAGCAGAAACAGAGTTTTATTGTGGCGGGATAATTACGCCGGGCTGTTTGTGAACGCGACAGGGTTTGGATGTGTCGTTGTTCGAGCTGCGTGTGAGCAGAGGAGGAGGCTTTTTACAGAGCTGACACACAAAACAAGGTCAGAGCAGGAAACAAACCACCACACACAACCTGTGCTTTGGATCTCACACACACAACTTCTGAAAACTTCAACATGTTAAACATCTGGGAGGCAAACATCTGCAGCAGGACGCTGTCGTCCCGTGGCCTCGACCTCACAGGAACATTTAACCTGAAGGATCSTGCAGAGGCTCAAACATCTGCTGCAAAGAACCAGACCCAGGTTGTTTGAGGCTAACAGCAGGACCCTCTGCTCCGTTCAGCAGAACATTCATTCAGCAGAAGTTCAGCAGTTGTTTAGCAGTTGTTCAGCAGTTGTTTAGCAGTTGTTTAGCAGTCGTTCAGCAGTCGTTCTGCAGTTGTTCAGCAGTTGTTTAGCAGTTGTTCAGCAGTTGTTCAGCAGTTGTTCAGCAGTTGTTCAGCAGTTGTTCAGCAGTTGTTCAGCAGT